CTACCAGTACCCGGATGTCTTCATTGATGGACCAACCAAGCCAATCTCACATCCATTCAGTAGGCTGCGACTCAGAGTGACCAGATAGGACACGGTAGAACTGCCCCTGTGGGTTTCCAGAGCTGTAAATCTTTACAGGAAGAGAATGACTGGTCTTTCTCTGTTGGAACAACTGGTGATTTAGAAATGTTAACCTTGCAGTTAGTAATGCAATGTGTAACCCGCAACCCCACAAGGGCTCAGTGAAAGGAGGTTACTGTTAGTTTTAAATGATAAAGTCTTTACAAAAATTACATATTAAATAATATGAAATATATTTAATGTTTAATACTTAGTATCTGGAAAGTAATAAATATTAGTAATATCTTTAGGCCTTTTATGTGACACAGTGAATAGGATCCTTTATATGTAATTTCTTATTTATTTCATAAGAAAACATAATTTAAAAATTATGATCGCCATCTATCCAAGAGAAAAATAAAGAATAAAATAATTTTCTCTAAGGAATATAATCTAAATGCACTTCCACTGAGTACATTTTATTTCATAGCAGCCCTATATGAGGTTTCCCTTGGAATGCTTAGTGGGCTTGAAACACTAACATTTGGTTAGCTTTCCAACACCTAACCAATGGTACCACTTGAGATCCCTATGAAGGCATATGGCTACTTTAAATTAATGTTTGTCTATAACAACATTCCCATAGAACAACACCTCCGTAAGTTCTGGGACCAAAAGGGAACCCATTCAGGATATCTCAAGCTGAAATCATTGAATAAAAATGCAAAGCCTTAAATTGCACTATGGAAGGGTTACATCGGCATAATATTAACTGATACAGGAAGGATCAAAAGAAGATGGAAGGAACACAATAGAGTGACTGTTCCAAAAACACTCGGTTAATGTTAAACCATTTCAAGAAGAAGCATGTGATCAAGAACCAGTGATCTGAATGGAGGAAGTCTAACTGCCATCAAGTTAATGCTAACTCAGAGTGACCACGTTGGATGTCCAAGACTTTCACTGTTGATGGGAGTAGAAAACCCAATCTTTCTCCCATGGAGCTGCTGGCGGTTTAGCATTGCCAGCCATGTGGATATCAGCCCAACCCCCACCTCACCAGAGCTCATTGCTGATGTAAGACAGCCAAGTAATGTGACCATTCTAGCCATAACTCCGCATGTGATGTAATTCTGGACTCTATTTTGTGGCTGTCACTCCATGTTAGAGGGAGCTCTCTAGCTGGCATGATTAAGGTGGGGTCATGTCTCTAGTTTAGGACAGGGAGGGAATCCAGCCACTAGCTTACTTTCCCTGAGGGTATGGTCTACTGAAAGAGCCCTTCTGCTGCATATAAGAGCCATCTCAGAAACCTCAGGAACATGGAAGAAGGGCGTCTCTGATATCTCTCTTTGAAGTGGTGGAAGCCAACAGTGGAGACACCAGACAAGCAATATGTCATGAAAAACACCGTGAACAGAGCAAAAGAGCCAGGCTGAGACCAGCGGCCTAGGCAAGGGAACCATGAGACAAAACAGAGGGGCGGCATAGAGATTATGGGACTCTTATGCTGACAGACAGGTGGACTTCCTGGTCCACGGGGACAGAGGCCAAGGGACCACCTGGCTGAGAGGCTGAGGACCAGAGAGAGACTTGGCTGCTGGCTGAGGAGAGGTGTCGCTGTTGATCGGTGACTGTATTCCTACTCTTAATTGATTCTTACTTGTGTTAACCTACTAACTCCCAGTAGTAACCCCCTGAAACATGAGTATTGTCTATGAGTTCTGTGTGGCCTTTGCCACAATTACCAATCCCAGCAAAGGCTGTAGTGCCAAGAGAGAAATAGTTGGTGTCTGAATAGGGTGAAGAAAGCAGCACTTGTGGAAATAGGGGAACTAGAGAAAGTCAGCGATAGTGCCTTCTGCTGTGTGCTACAGATGAATATCGAAGCCTTCAGGAATGATTGCAATTCAATGCAAAGAAAACCAAAAATCTTCACAATTGGACCAATGGACAATATCATGACAAATGTATTGCACATTTTATCTTGCTTGTATCCACAATGTTCATGGAAGCAGCAGTCAGGAAATCAAATGGCATTTTGCAATGGTCAAATCTGCTGCATACAATGTCTTTAAAATGTTGACAAGCAAATGATGTCACTTTGAGGACTGAAGTACGCTTGGCCCAAGCCTTAGAATTTTGAATCGCCTCATAGGCATGTGAAAGTTGGACAATGAATAAGGAAGATCAATGAATAATTGATGCATTTGAATTACAGTGTTGACAAAACTATTAACAGTACCACGGACTGCCAGAAGAACAAACAAATCTGTCATGAAAGAAATACACCCAGAATGCTCCTTAGAAGCAAAAGGGTGTCTCATCCTTTGCACATGTTATCAGGAAAGACAAACCCTGTTGATAGGACATCATTGCTGGTAAAATAGAGGGTCATCTAAAAACAGGGAGACCCTCAAAGAGATAGACTGACAAAATGGCTGCAACAATGGGTTCAAACTTAAAAACAATAATTGTGAAGATGGGTGAGGATGCTGCAATGTTGCATTTTGTTGTATACAAGATCATTTTGAGAATCAATTAAAAGGCATCTAACAACAGCAAAACTGTGAGTCAGAAACTACTCAATGGTAATGGGTGGTTAAGGTATTCTTAAAGAACTCTGGTGGTGCAATGATTAAGTGCTCGGCTCCGAAGAGAAAGATTGGCAGTTTGATCCCCACAGTCACTGCCTGGGAGAAAGATGTGGTAGTCAAAGGCTTTTTCTGTAAACATCAGAGTCTTGGAAACTCCATAGAGTATTTCTAGTCTGTCCTATCTGTTTACTACGAGACAGAATTGACTCGCTGACAACGGAAGGTCTTCTAACAGTCTTCCTGGTTACGAAATCCTATGATACTTGATCGCAATGTGTCTAGGTTAAGGTGCTAAAACATGATGATGAGAGGTAATGTTGGCTGGGAATTAGTAATGTTGCTCATGCTAAATGTTAAACCATGCAGCTCCATGACTTATTTTGAAGGTTATTTTAATTCATTGTATTGTGCGAGACAAAATGCTTTATCGATATTTTACAGAAGTCTGCTTTTATTTCTATTTTTGTCACTGAAGTAGGTGTCAAGGTACATTTGCTTAAAAACTTACTGTAGCCATATTCTAAAGTACAGAACACATTCTTAACTTTTTAAAACCATGTTCTCTTTTGAAAAGAGACATTTCCTTCTCTATTTTTTATTACAGACATTTTTCAAAGAATTTAAATAGTGAGACCAAATTTCTCAGCAAAATAGCTATATCAAATATTATTTCTCCAATTATACATATCTATATTTTTCCTTGTGCCTTCCTTGCCACAATACACAGAAATAATGTAAAACCCATCGTGGGAAAAGAGGTATAATCCTAACGGGAATTACTGCCAAACTCTGACTCTGAGTGATTTTTTATTTGGACAGTAGACAAAATTCCATCTTAAGTTTTCTATTGACCTTACTGAGCAGTGATTCCTCAGTTGCCATTTATGTGAAGATTGATGGGACATCTACTTAGACAGTTCAGTGTTCATAGAAGTGTGACAGTCCAACCCAGCATAACTGCCAGTTACAACAGGAGAGGCCTTGTAGAAATAGCTGATGCTGAAGAATATTTTTTAATCAATAGAATTTCATATATTTATCCTAAGTTCATTTACCAGAAACAATATGTATGAAGCATTGTCTGAAGTATATAGTAAACCTATTCTGGCAGATAAATCAAAATACAAATACACATACATTCTTAGTAGCAAAATCTTGTCTGCTTGGAACCAAATATTTCAATGCCTCTTCAGATAGGCTTTTAGTAATAGCAAATTGCTAAAAATCCCCACGAATTCATTAAAAATATTAGAATAGGACTGAGAATATTCTCCAACATAATAAACAGAGTCAGTCTTATTATGGAAACCACAAGATGAAACTCACTAGGATTCCAGATCAAGGAATACAGATTAAATTCCATGTTATTGATTAATTTCCTTTTCTGCCTTGCATGCTACAAATCCGAGAAATAATTTTTGTTCCATCTTAAGAAATAATACAAAGTCTCTTGACATAATTGTGTGAGCTAGTTTTTATAGATATTTTCCTTTGGTCTGCTATCAGAAAACCCTATTTTTCTTTACGATTGTCATTGCCTTCGAAGGTGTCCTGGTAGCACATTGGTGAAGGATTCTTCTAATAACCAGCAGACTGTAGGTTGAACCCATTAATCACTCAGCAGGAGACAGATCTAGTAGTTGGCTTCCATAAAGATTATAGCCTTGGAAGTTGTAAATGGGGAAGTTCCGGTCTATATTTGATATGGTCACTATGACTTGATAAGAAAAGGGTTAATGACCTTAATTTATGGAGCTTTGTGAGCCAATTTAAGTCCCTTTAAAACAGAAATAGCATTAAAATGAGTTTATGACATAAACTGTGTTAAGATTCTACCCAAATAAATTTAGCCTAAATGTACAGGACACAGTGACAGCTGTCAGGTGACTGCCCTGCAAAGCCACAGTTTATGCTTCACTTGTTTTCTTTCCTTCTGCCTTTCATTGGGATGATCCTTGTTTCATACAATACACTAAAAGAAGAGAGGAGACTCAATTTTTGTGTATGAGGTCTGCTTTTTCTTTTTAAATTGATGAGGGATTAGAAATCTATGGCCGATGTTAATTGTAGGCACTGTTAAGTATCTCATTTCTTTACATCACTCTAGCCATACTGCTCTACATTTGGCCTGCTACAAAATGAACTCATTAAAATTCATGGGAATTATATAGGATTGCAAAGAAGCAGGTTGTATTTTAGAAGCATTCTCATTTTTCTGTGTAAACTCTGAGAATTAAAAAAACATCATTTACATAAGAAAGCAGATCAAGAGATTTAATGATACCTATAAAAGGAGACCTATTGGTCACCTTTTCCCACTTACCAGCTTGCATTGCGCGGCTTCTCATGCTGATGGTGGCTACTCCCAGTGTCCTGTTCTGAGCCTCTTCTCATAACTCTGTTTCAAGGTAGCTAAATGAAAATAAAATAAAAAAATTGACATTTACATCTTGAAGGAGACACTCCACATATTGATGATCTCAATAAAAACATTCCAGATTTATACAGCACCTGTTCTCTAAAGCTTTTAAAGAAACGCAATAAAGATTCAATCCACTTTACATGCTTGGGGTTTTGTAGTTTGAAGGCAAGCATATTGTCTTCATTCTTGTGGTGCTCTCAGCATATGATAAAGTAGCTGTCACTGAGGCGCCCATTAAGTTGTTTTCTTTTTTAATCAATACAGGAATGAATGACCCACATTCACATTCACTTACATATTTAAAGATATATGTATTTCAACTATACATGGCAAGGTAGTATTTTGCTGAATTGTCATTCATTGCAGAGCAGGAGGATACAGACCTGAAGAATATTCTTTTGCTGGGTCAATACACCTGCTGTTTCAAAGGTTAACATTTTGACAATAATATTCGTCGGAATGTCACAACTGACTCCTTGAGATAATTAAATAGAAAAATGACTTAGTAGAAGAAATCTGCCACGGGATAAGAGCTGGTCTCTCTGTTCGGAGTGACTGCAGAACTGGAAAAGAGATGACGTGTATTTTTTCTTTCTTATGTCCATTTTCCTGACCATAATTTTCTTTCTTATTATTCTCCTCAACTCCATCATGAACCCTACCTCCTTCTGCTCCAGAGAGAAAGACATAAAAGCGAGAAAGAGAAATTAAAGGAAAGTAAGAGAAGCTATTCTCAAATACTTTTCAGTGACTCAGAAGAAGTGTAGGGAGGTGAAATTCTTTCTTAAAATTAGACTGTCAATCAGTTTCTTTCAAACACCATTTGTGTTTCTAATTTTTTTACTTGACACTTTTATGACCAACAATATTAACAGTAACTATTATTAGGTATTGCTTATAATATATCAAGAACTGTTTTTAGCTATGTAGAAGATATACATCATCTGATTGACTACATTTAGCAACCCGATGAAGCAGATATTACTTTATCTTTCAAAGATTAAAAACAAAAAAACGGAAGCACAGGTTAATTAAATGACTCAATATTCATTGATAGTAAGCAACAAAGCAGTGTTTGAACCCTTTCCAGAGATAATCGAAAATGTTCAAAGTAATCATGGGACCTTTGCAACTGAACCCGAAATGGAACTCTTGATTTTTCTGACTTAGCTTCCTTCTTTTGTCTTTCCTAATTTCCAGGAAATGGAACTACATACTTAGGACCCAAAAGAGACTTAATGGTGCACAGGTTTGTTCCCTGCTGCTAAGGGAAAGGTTAGCAATTAGAATCCACTTGTCAATGGAATTAGGCTTGCTGACCCACGGAGCAAGGGAGCTGAGCAATTTCAGCTCTAAAATTACTGGTAGAGCAGGGTACCTCCAGGCATTTATTGATAAAGCCCAAGAGGTTTGTAACACTTCTCTGAGTGGGGGAGATGTCAAGCCAATCCAAGAAGTCCAAGAGATCAAGGAGTTGCGAGGCAAGAAACAAGGAAGCAAAGCTGAAGAGAATGGAGCATGGGAATGCCACGTTGGTCGCAAAGGTTGAGGCTACAACCCGTGAGGTCTCAATAGACAGGACTATCGCCGCCTAGATTTCAACCAGTTAGATCTTCACCAACATGGCTCTGGCATATGGGTCTTCTGTTTACAAGTCTGCTACCCAGAGCTGAGAGATGGAACTGCTCTGCCCAACAGAGAGAAAAACAAAATCTGCCTGGGCTGGGAGCCATCATTTCAGCTTTGGCAATTACGTGATGATGTAATTTGGCAGTTATACCATAATGTAATCATCCCCATACTGTCACCTTATGCAATCAGCCAGTCAGTTCTAAGGGGATTAGAGTGGGATCGGGTGCAGCTTGCAGCATCTTTTATTTATAAAAGATAAGAGGATAGAGGAAAAAGCAAAGAAGAGGGTCCTGACTCTGAGGAGGAGAGCTATGAGTGGAGCGCATCCTTTGGACAAAGGTTCCCTGAGCCTAGAACCACATGGACAGGGGGCCCATACATCATGAAATGAGACAAGACCTTCCACAAGAAGCCTCACAGAACAAAACGCATCCTCTAGAGGTACTACCCTGAATCTGGATGTGGAGCTTCCTAAACTGAGACTCTAAAGGTCCATTTCTTTAAGCCATTCGCTTGTGCTGTTCCTCTTAGAATAGCACTATAAAACTAAGAGACCCCTCTATCTTCTCGCCCCCCCACCCCCATGTCTTAACACTAGCTCTGTAGCATTAGTTGTATGAAGGCAATGTAATTTCAGCAACTACAACTTTAGGAGTGTTGTTAGACTATAAATAAAACTGTAAAATGTACCTGAGGTTTATCAAGAAATAAATTGTCATGTGAAACTTATTGTGAAATAATACGTATGGAGAGGCAACATCAATGCTATACATTTTCATTTTCTTAACTTCTACTTTGATTAAAATAAACCAAACCCAAACCCACTCCCATGATGTCAGTTCTAACTGTAGACCAGGGAAGAACAGCCCCAGCAGGCTTCCAAGGTTGCAATTCTTTACAGAAACACGCCGCCACATCTTTCTCTGCTAAAGCAGCGAGGAGGCTCAAAGGTTTAGCCTTCTGGTTTACAGCCAAGTGCCGCAATCGATGTGCCATCAAGAAACCCGGTGGATTAGTATGGAAAGTACATATTTTAAAGAGTTGTGTTGAAGACTGTGACTCAAACTACAATTTTAGCTATAGTTTGTTTTTTATCTTTTCAAATCTCTTACTAAAGCAGCAGTCAAAGCTCATATTTAGGTTGAATACAGATTCCATTGAGCATAGAAGTTGCACGATGGAACTCACTTTATTAGACCTTGTACTCAACACAAAATATCAACTGCAGGGAGTCAGGCAGCATCATTCTAAGTGCCACACCAATATGTTGCAGAGTAGCATCTGCAATGTCTCAGGTTCTTTATTGATACTGGAACTCATTTAGTGGTGTCCCAGAGTGATTTCCCAAATGCCCGAGGTACAAAAAAATGCACGATAACAACGTGGCTTTGGAGACAGGAATATCAGCAAGAATTTCTGTGGTAGTACAGATCTAGACAAATGTTGATAACAGGTGTAAGAAGAAAAAATTATAGTGTTAAGTCAAGTTGTTTTGTACTAAATACAGCTGCCTGTCCTAACCTTGGAGAGCTGAAAGAAGATTTTGACACTTTACAACTTTCATGAATTGAAATGCAAAGCCAATAGGAGAGGCTGATTAAATCTTATATTAACTGATCTTTAATACAGGAGCCTTGGTGGGGCTGCAGAATAAGCCTTGGTCTGCTAATGGTAAAGGTCATCTATTCAAACCCGCCAGCTGCTCTGTGGGAGAAAGCGGAGGCTGTGTGAGCCTAAAAAGATGTACAGTCTCTGAAACCCTATACTCTTATTATGAAAGGGAACTGACTTAATGGCAGTGCTAACACACATGGCTACCGCCAGGTGAGAGCGCGATTCTATAATAGAACAGTATAAGGTAAGTGGAAAATCGTTTCTTAGGTATGTACAACTGGGCTTCATAATATGATGGGTTGGTACCCTCAATCCAACAACGCCCTACTATATTTTCATGGGGGACAAAAGAAGAGACTTTCCCCTTATATCACACCTACCAAAAGTAGCCCTGAATCACCTGAAACCACCGTCACTGCAAGAGGGAAGGGTGAAGATTTCTGCTCCTGTGAAGATTTGCAGTCTCGGAAACCCATAGGGGCAGTTCTACTTTATGCTACCAGGTGGCTGAGTTGGAATCAATTTGATTCCACCGGGACAGGGAGGTCAAATTCAGAGTTCTAGGCCTACGGGCAGGCTTCCTCTCTGTAGATTCTTGGAGAAGGTCCTTGTCTCCTTGCAACATCTGAGGGTCCAACATTCCTAGCAGATCTTGGTGTGTCTTTCCCTGGGTTTAGTAGTAGATTCTCAGTAAAAAACCACCCTGGGTCCAAAACATGCGACCAGTTTTCAGTTCTTCATCCTCCAGTCTATTCAGTTATCTCTTGTCTGTTGTCTGCTTCTAGCTCCTTGCATCCTTTATGAGGTTCAAGTTATTGAAGTTACACCTGAGAAAAACTCTCCTTACAGGGGTTCAGAGAAGTAACTTTAACAAGACTGTTATACCCCACCCTAAACTCCTTACCATTCAATATCTGGATTGTACCATATTAAAGTCTAAGAAATGGTTACATAGTTGCATAATTCCCAATCAGCATGAATATTAACGACAAAACCACTGAGGATCATGGTCCAGCCAGGAGGTCACAGATTTTATTTGGACACACTTCAATCCATGACAGGGGTAAAGGGCTATTGTAAATGCATTTTATTTCAAGCGTGTTGATCAATGAAGGCTGCCTCCTAAAAGACTGTATGTGTCACAGTTGTAGGAAAACCTTCCAATTTTGAACAATTATGCAAGAAGGAAGATAAATCATGTCAAGGTACCATGCTAACGGTCATCTGCAGTCTAGGTATTTAATCCAGGTATGCCAGTACCAGTGGTTGTTATTAGGTGCCTTTGAGTTTGCACCCTGTATAAAACAGAACAAAATGCCCCCAGCCTAGGGCCAGCCTCACAATTGTTCTTATGCTTGCACCCACCTAGTGTCAGTAATGGCTTCTTACTGTATGGTCTTTTCTAAAATGTTCTTCATCATAAACATGATCATTCTTGTGTAAGGAATTGGGTACACATCAGGGACTCAAGTGATCACACAATTTGCCAGCCAAAGTGAATCTGAGGCCATCCATTCTTTCTCCCATCCAAGGAGGACATACCGGCTTTGGATGATCAGGCCACCTTCCATGCAGTTTCAATGGTACCGATCACACACTGGACACAACAGTGCCAACTACTTGGGTAAGTTTGTTTTTTCAGAGTGGTGAACAACCTTGTATCTTTCACCATTGATCCACACGTTGACCTCTGGAAAGATACAGAACACGCGTAATTCTAGTTTCACATGGAGGCTCTGAATTG